ATTAGCAAATGAGGGCCTCTCTCGCTCTCTCTCCATCATCTTTCGAGCACTTGATCAGCAGGTCTCTAATTTCAGGCAACAATCAGTCAGTGCCTCTGCCGCGCTGCATCCTCCCAGAACACAGAGCTCATGTTGGGATACTTCCTCATCAGCCAGCCTTGTGCTGTACACTGTGGCAAGCTGTGGAAATAACTCACACACACACTCTGCTGTGCACAAATGCATGTGCAAGCTGCTACACGATCCCACACGAAACCAGCTGATCACTCGATTAGCCGTTTGAGTGGAAGTTAATAAAACCAGTCCCGATAGTAAATTAAAAGTTGCACAATGACATGGATGGAAACACCAGCTGCTTTTCATCCTCAGAAATGCTGAAATTTTTGCTTTTGATGTGAGACTATGCAAGTTATGAAGAGCCCGGTTTCCACCACAGGAACTTTACCCAGAGACAAGGAACTGAGTGCATTTCCATCACATTGACACGGGTCTAAATTCACTTCTTGGAAACTGTAAACCATTTTCCACAGCAGGCTGTTTTTAGTGGAGCCCAACCTATCAGGAACCAGATTTTCCTGACCATTTGTGAGATGGATGTCTAAGTTGTAATTTGGGATAATGTTGGTGCAGCACACTAATCTCTGTTAAACAACAACAGGTTGCAAAGAGGAGCTAACATACTGTATTTTGCACCCCCGTTCACAACTTTATATTTTAATTCCAAGGAGCCAGACTTTCTTTATTTCTTAAACTGGTCTTGAACAATAGTTTTTCAGCTTTCTGAAGATCTTTACTTTAGACATTGTCTACTTTTTCACTCATTTTCACTCAACTCCTTGTACCTGACCATTTTCAGAGGATTTCAGAGGATTGAATCAGTTTTGTGTCCACACATAAACATCACAAAAAATGTCTAATTGGACAAGTGGCCTACAAAAGAAGACGCATCAAGTTTAAAAACTACCTACTACAGATCAACAATATCTGAAAGCCATCTTCTGGAGAAATAGCAGCAAATCTAGCTACTGATCCATCTACTGTTCAATAGAGACTCATCAGAAATCAATCATCAATGACAGGGTGGCTTTCAAGAAGTCATTTTTCAGGAAAGGAAACGGAGAAAAGCCGGAGGTATCCCAAATGACATAAGAACTAGACTTAAAATCAGTGGAGTGAGATTTGGTCAGGAGAGAGGTACAACAGTGACCGTCTACAGGCGTCTGTAAACACGGTGGAGGCTCTGTCACGTTTGAGGCTGAATGTCAGCCAGTGATGTTGGAGATCTTTTCAAAATTAAAGGAATTGTGAACACAGAAAAGTCAGATTCTGAACCAACATGTGGTGAAAGCTGGCTGATTGATCCCAAACACACTAACAGAAAAAAACTTCCCCAGAGCCCGGACATTAACATTATTGTGTTGAATCATCCTGACAGAAGATAAAGAATTCAAAGAAGAGATTTCAAGAAACCCGGAGAACTATTCCTGAAGACTACTAACAGAAATTACAAGAGCTGCCCAAGAGAGTTCACAGTGTGCAGCACTCATTTAATATTTTCCAAGGAAATGTGAAGAAAAAGAGGTGTGTGCAGCACTGTACAAATCAAAATACTGCACAGTGCAATGCTAGGGTCTCTTCGTTAATGGTGCTATATTTGTTCTGAAGGAAAAGCAGAAAGGTAAACGGTCTTCCTGGATCAGAAGACAAACAGCAGAAAGAATGGGTGAGCAACATGAGACAGATTTCCCAGTTTGGAAGGCCTGCTAACATCTGGAGTGCTGCTTCAACTCCTTGGTAGGGCTGTCGAGATCAGTCAAGGGAGACATGGTGGTGGAGTTATGGCAACATGTTCAAGCTAACTAACTAACCCTAACTCATGTGGCGCATCCCCTTACTAAGATCAAGCTGTGTTCAGATCCTGGACCGGGCTCTGTCACTATTACGACTGGCTCAGGTGTGGAGTATAACAACGGAATGAGAAGGATGTACCAAGCATTTTAAGAAAGTGCTTGGTATAAGAACTGATTAGAGACCTCACATCTGCACTGAAATCCTGTTTCCTGGGACTGTTTACCCCCCACCACCACCAGAATGCTAGGTGAGCAGTAATTTACTGTATATGAGCTGCTTCTGATAGGCACTTGGAATCACAAACATTATCTTGAGTGGTTGTGATCACCTCCTCCTTAGTACTAAGATAGCTATGGGCTTTTTGGCCCAAGCACTGCCTGCAGATATAGTTAGTTATACTTATCTATGGGCCTTTACAGACTACTTTGAGTCATGTGTCTGGCTGGCTTACCTCATCCACAGGTCCACCCAACATGGGCCAGATGTCAGGTGTGTTGTAGCAGCCACATCTGGGCTGCAGAACAATTTTCTAATGTAACAGATTTATAAGTGCCAGAAGTGGCTAACATCAGTCTGCATTCTTCTATTCATCAAAACGTGCTGCTTTCATTTCCTAGAGTGTGAATTGACCACCGATAGTTGGCGAAGATTCTGGTTTTTCATGCTAATGCAACCATGAACTGCTAGCCTCGTGAACTCTTGAGGCCATTCGCCAGACGTCTTATCCTTCAGCGGACTATTTTCACATACATCACAGGTACAGCACGACGCCCCACCGCTAATAACATGGTGTGTCCTCTTTGGAGATTCCTTATGATTCACTACAGTGAACAATAATAGCAGGTCTGCGATGGACACAAACTACAGCTTCATCCATGACAGCGTACTAAATAAGTCTCCTTCATATCCCTACTTACTATGTCACTGATCTACATAAAATACATCATAAAATACAAACATGTACTGCTTTCTCTACTTCTTCTACACATCCTGCACTTTTCAAAAACACGCCAACAATTTCCACTCAGAGGTCAGATGTAGGATGACTCAACAAGTTCTCATACGAGTACGCCAAATGTGCCTTAATCCAGATTCAAGCAGAAATGACTAGAATGGCGCAAGACTTTCATAAAACAGAGGTTATTTAGCAAAAACCTTGCTGTCCTCAGGAGGAATCTGGGGGCTGAAGCCACCGGAGCGTGAGCTTTAAATTTAGCAGAGAGAGGAGAACAGCTACAGTATAATCAGCAGGAGAAGGGAATAAGTTGAACCTTGACCTCGGCTCTCTTTATAGATGACAGTGACGACCTTGAGAGGGTGAGAAAGGAGATTGATGATGGCCATTTTGCTTAACGAGCTCACCAAGGACCGCCTCACCCTCTGAAGGGAGGACAATCGTCTCCGCTCAAGGTAAGAGACAAATGTCACCTTTCTCCACATCACTTATAGCAGCACCGAACGTCTCATTTCAGTCCATTTACTTTTAAAAATAGCAACAGAGAAGCTGATGGTGAGACTACAAGGTTGCCTAAGGATGCATTACACCCACAGACTGTATATGAAAGATGGCTGTAGTCAAATTCCCATTTTTAGCATGCTGGATGCTGCAGTGTTGCACGCTTCATTAGACAGTTTGTTGGATAAAAACAGTCTAATTGCTAGCCTCGTTAGAGAACATATTTCTGATATAACTAACCCGACAGGAAGCCACATTCCTGCAAAATGATTCAAAAGGCACCAACAGCACAAACACAGTCCACAGATCTGGTTCGGTGACTCCAAGTAGCTGAGGTAAAACCTAGCAGACAGCTAGCAGCTACTGCCATCTGTGTCACCATTCACCTTTCGTCAATGTTTCCATGCCTCAAACTTTTAGCTTTAATTCTTTAGCTTAGATATAGAAATATTTATCCCCTCTATGGTAAAAAAGGATAAATTATTATTAAGTGTTAAGGTCCCGTTACACAGTCCTAGAGACTGGTCAGGGACCCCCTGGAAACCACCGGCCACTAGAGAAACATGTGTATCACCTGACCAGTTGCTGGAGGTTGCTGCCAGGCTCTAACATGAAATTGGTTGCAAGGAGGTATACAGTGTCATACCAACACCCTCCTTGTGATTAGTCCTTAGTCACTAGCAGGTTGTCATGGTCACACATAGTTTGCATGAAAGCTGTCGACTTGTCCATAGAGCGTATATGTGAATCACACAGATACCTGCTAATGGACAATTAAAATAGTAGAATTTCACTCATCAAAACAGGATCACAGACTTCTTGGACAGTCTGCACTGCACAAAAAGCCATTTTACTTGTCATGTTAATAAATATCTAAAAGGCACCAACATCACAAACCCTCTTCAGTAACTCCAAAAAGCAGAGTTGAAGTGTAGAAGATGGCCCCCAGCTGTCTGTGTCAACAACATCTACGCACGGGTTCATTGTGGTCTTAAATAGGTGAGATACAGCTGTCACAAAGTGGCAACTCAAAGCTGCTGTAAAGGAGGATTTTAACATGTGGGGTCTATGGGGACTGACCCACTGTTAGAGTCGGCCTCAAGTGGCCATTAGAGGAACTGCAGTTTTTCAGCTACTTTAGTTTCTCCAATCAGTTTAATGTGATGCCGAAAAACTAATTACAAGTGGCTGATTTCTAGCCTTGCAAAAGTGACTTGAAACTTCACAAACGAAGCATCCTCACATGTTCGACGATGACGGGACAAAAAGGTTGCCGTGGAAACAGGGTTTTTTTTTTCTGCCTTTTAAAATCTGCCAGGAAAAAAAAAATGTGAGGGGAAAAAGAAGGGAAAGAATGACAGAGAGTCGGTGTGAGACAGAGAGGGGAAGCTAGGTGCAGGGAGTGAGAATGAAATCTGCAGGATCCTAAAAAAATGTGACGAAGGCTGAGTGTGAAAACCGCTGAGGCAGCCAGAATGTCACCGCCTGCTGCTGCGTGCGCTCGTGGGAAATCATCTGACCTCACAATTTGGGTTACCCCACATTAGGAAGTCAAAATGTGGGGGTGGGCAGAAGGGACAGGGAGTGGTGAGGATGGTTTGGTCTCCCTCTCTTTGTTCTGGGGAAGAAGAAAGTGGGGAGAGAGGGAGGGGGGAGCGCACTTGGGTGTCCTCTTTCTTTCATCTTGTCTTACCTGGAGGAGTGCAGTTCTTTGTTCCTTTTTGTAAATCTGTCTCCTCGCTGCTGTTGTTGTCCGTGTCCTGCAGCAGCCTCCTTCCGATCCACCTCTCCTGGTCCTCGCTGCTGTGGCTGGAGACATCAAAACCTGAATGGAGACAAAAGAGAGTGATGGGAGGGTTCAGTGCAACATCCAGATACAAATTACTGAACTTTTGTCACTAAGGAAATTTAGCTGCTTCTAAAAAACCTTGAAGTTCATTGTATAATATACTGTGTAAGGTTGCTCCTCGTGCTAGTCAGACTCCAAGATGTCCATTTGACACATATTAGAAGGTGCTACAATGCAAAAATGACATACAGGGGCAGGCAGCTGCATGCAAAAACATAAGACGGGCTTGAACATATACTGGACATGGCTGGAGGAAAAAAACGGCATAAAGTGTTGATTTTGCAAAGTGAGCTCTTATAGTTTTGAAACAAGTGCACCAAAGCATCTTCATGCAGGCCATGTTGACAAATTTTAGCTTAGTGTAAAATATTTTTTTGTTACTTTTACTGTTTTCTTACATTTCATTTAACTTTTATTTCAGGTAATTAAAAAGATTCTCTCACGTTTAGCTTTAGTTTTCTAGTTTCATGTTAATTAACTATTATAACCTTGGTGTGGAGTCTGCATGGTCTCCACAGTCCACAGACACGCTTCCTGGTTAACTGATAATGCAAATTTGGATATAGGAGTCAATGGGAGATCGTGTTGTTGTCGTGTCTGTCTCCAGTCTGTATCCTCTCTGTACCCACTTTCACTCCATTTCCAACCCATTAGCCTGGTGCTGGGAGTGAAAGTGAGGTATAAGCAGTCTTGGGTGTAACATTTCCCAAACTGTAATCACATTAAGTCTAACACATCTAGGTTCTAAATTCAAGAACCACACTGAAGTTCCAAGTCCAACACTTACATGCATTCTTTAATTATTTGCACAATAGGTGGATGGAACAAAAAAATAAAATAAAAGCTCAGTGTGGAAGAAACAAACATACAAAACTAGATTTTCAGCATCACTCGGAGACAGGATGTTTCTAATTTTAGCAATGTTGAGCAGATGGAAGAAAGCGGTCCTACATATTTGTTTAATGCGTGTGTTGATGGACATATCCTGGACTCCAAGATTCCTCACAGTGTTACTGGAGGCCAAGGTAATGCCATCCAGACACCATGTTTGTACGATTTTAAAAGCCACATACAAAAATCTCAGTTTGTCTGAATTTAGAAATAGAAAAGTAGAGGAAAATTGGAAAAATAGGAATTAGAGGCCTCTGTGACTCGTAAGACGTGCAGCTTTTTTCCCCCAAATAACATTACCCAAGGGAAGCATGTTTAATGTAAACAGCAGTGGTCCCAGCACTGAACCCTGTGGAACTCCAAGGCTAACCTTTGTGTGAAGAAGACTCCCTCTATCCCTGTATCCAGTTGAATCTATCAGGACACAATTCATTATTATACCAGTAAATGTACATTAAGGTTCCTTATTTTATGAGTATTTCTTTCATTACAACTGATAACTGGCTTTAGAATTTGATTGGCATGTTAAATCACTGGAAAATATACAAAACTTTTATTTTTTCTTCCCATTTTTCCTTTAAAAGCGTCATCACTTGAGCTGAATGGATTCCATTTTATAACTGTTATCCCATCATCGGACATTGCTCCGGGAGGCTTCTCTCCTGTCAGGAATCTTTTACTTGTCCATAAAGATGCAGATCAAAGGATTGAGCATGTCTCTGAAGTGCAGCTTCTCCTTGGTCAGGCACATGTGTTACTGGGAGTGATGGGAATAACAGCGTTACAAGTAACAGCGTTACTAATTGCGTTACTTTTTTCAGTAACGAGTAATCTAACTAATTACTATTTCTATCGTTACAACGCCCTTTTCGTTACTAACAAGAAAATGCAGTGCCGTGGCGTTACTACTTTTCAACAAACAGATGGTTGAAGCCGTCTTCAGTTTACCGCAATCACTTTCTGCCCCACGATCACTTTTTCCCACAACACCTGGAGCTCAGGGAGCAAAACAATCGCATGAGTGCTGCTGTTTGACTGACGATGAATAAAGTAGTCGTGGTAAGCCAATCACATGACCACTTCAAGATGACAAAGCAACAAGGTGATATATACCAGTTTATAAACTGTGTTGATAGGCCACGTAAAACCAAAGTCATGTTAAATAATATATACGCGACGTTTTTTCCTCAATAGTTTAGTCACGTTTACTGTCTAAGGACAGCGCAGCGAGACCTCTCTGCTTATGAGCAAAAAATAAAAAAACAAAACAAAAAACAGCCTGTTGGTGTTGGTGGAAAAATGCACCATGTCGACCAATCAAAAAATGATATAGCGACATGACATTTGGTTGTTTAGGAAGAGGGGGAAGTTTTAGGAGTGATGGAGAGAGAGAGAGAGAGCAGAAAAAGAGAAAGAGAGAGAGAGCAGAAAAAGAGAGAGAGAGAGAGAGAGAGAGCAGAAAAAGAGAGAGAGAGAGAGAGAGGGAGAGAGAGAGAGCAGAAAAAGAGAAAGAGAGAGAGAGAGAGAGCAGAAAAAGAGAGAGAGCAAGTTTGGAGATGTGAGAGATTTGTGATGTTTAGCGTGTTTGGAGTGTGTAGTTAATGTGTTGTCTTGTGTAGATAGCGTGTAGTGTTGTGGATAGTTTTGTGTTGTCAGAACAATGAGGCGACTGCTGTCTCCAGGTAGAAACAGGAGTGATACACCTGCTGCTGTCAGACCTGCAGGTATCAGGCTGTGATGTTCTCTTTTATAGTGGACAGAAATTATTTCTTTTGGAGTGGCACAAATAATTTGTGTTACTTATTTAATGCAGAACACCTGAAAAAAGAAACAAGAGGGTAAAAGGTAAATGGCTGCAAATAACTTTGTGTGCGTATGATTTTAAAATTGACAATTTATATTTGCATTTAAAGTTATAAAATATGATTCAATAAACATGTTTATGGTTGTTACAGTAAAAAATATAACTTTTTCTACTCGGATTTTATGTTTTTTGTCTGATTTTAGATCAATTGTGTTAATACAGTATGTCAAAATGAAAACATAACTTTAAATTCAGACACGTGAGGTTGTGCTGAAAAGGATGATACCAAACAAGGCAAAGGAAATAGTTTTTAAGGGTGAAATATAGAGGTACAATTCAAAAGTAGTTAAAAATGGCCAATTATACCCTGGACTCCAGAGGGTTAAACATTTTTTTAAAGTAACGCAATAGTTACAAGATTCTAAAAGTAATTAGTAACTGAGTTACTTTTCAAGTAATTAACTCATTTACTTTTTCTGAAGAAGTAACTAGTAACTATAATTAATTACTTTTTCAAAGTAACTTGCCCAACAGGGTTTAATCCACTGCAGTATCTCCTGTTAGTCTCCCTACATACACCTTTATCACACTGACACTAATCTCTAAGTTTAATTTATCGGTAAAGAAGACTTTTCTCCACTATCCTCCATGAAATGCTGTGAAATTTGCTTGTTTTCTCCTCAGAAGTGGTTTAGAAGCAATCCTCTGAGACCTCATGGACACATCCTCCTTTCATTTTCACTGACATCATTTTGTAAAGATGGCGTGCTCACCGTTGATCATCATCCTGCTCTGGATCTAAATCCTAAAACTTTCCTCATTTCCATGTTTACATACATGGACTCGGCTGTATTCCTTTAAGCTGTTAGTTTAGCAGAGATGTTGCAGATAGCAAAGTGCATGTCAAGCATTTTGATTTATTTTTAATGCCCTGTTCTGCATTCTTTGCCACATTAAAGTTTGATTCTTTATGTAATGTTAGGATAGCCAACAGCTGGAGCAGAGCTCCACAGATGTGTCAATTTGGTGCTTCCTCCTTCTCCTCCACCTCTACCCTTTATCTCCCACAATTCATACATTGAAGGGGAATTTCATGATTTTCCAAAACTAAATCCTCTGGGCGGGTGGAGCAACAGTGCACAATGTGGGGGCTCCCACTGTGGCTACATCTGCACATTCGTCAAGAAAGCAGCAACACCAATGAATTAATTTCATACTTCACAGAGCTCAGCAGAAGCACTATGGCCTTTCTGAGGTGTGCGTGTCAGCGGTGCAATCTTCCTCCCACCCTCCGTATCTTTTACCATCTTGCACCGGGAGAAGAAGAAGAAGGAGAGGAATAAGAAGGGAAGCGCGGGAATGATTAAGGCGGTGAGTGCTCCACTTGCGGAGCCACAACACCAAGCTTAAATTGGCAGAACTTCATTAGGCGCATCATAAATAATCAACTTTAATTGATATTCCAGTGCGCTGATTAAGAGTTAACATGAACACAGCAGGACAGGGTAGATGCATTAAACGTGTCGCCTCTTGTTCTCGCAGAGCTGCTTTTGCGTGTAACACAGTGGGGAGGAAGGACCGATGATGCACAAATCACGAGCGTATGAATATTCACGAAGACCTTCTGTCCACAGAAAGTGATAAATACTTCTCACTTTAGCTGAGTCACACAGACAAAAACAGAGGAGGAACATGCAGGCATCAAGTCGAGGCGTGCAGATGTTGTGCTGCTGCAAATCATTTCAGCAAAAAGAAATCCTATCAAACCACATCAGTAATATCCAGTGAACCATATTATGTATGCAGACTGTTTATTGTGTGCAAGCTGATATTACATAAAACACCTGTAAAAGTATTGTCATGATTTGCAGAACAAAAGGAGGCGTCTCAGATTTCCCTGTTTTGAAGTGTTTCATAAGGATCTTTGTGTCTGTGAGTTAAAGCTAACTTGATATATGCGCAAGTTTCCAAAGACTTCAAGTATGATACTTCTAATGAGAATTTTACTGAAGAGACTGGGGTGGTTCAGCGCTTTGTAGCTGCAGAAGTTAAAGCAGTTTTAATCATTTTATTTCCAGGCTGTTCTTTAATTGTGAGGTTATCAAGTTTAAGATTTGGTGCCACACGTTACCAAACTGAGCCGCAGAGACACTGCACACTTTTATGTAGGAAGGTGACTTTTACATATGAACGCGTCTTTCTTCCTGTGCTTTTATTTTATACGACTCTTCTTTTAACATCTCCACCGCAGAGTCTGTAATAAGGAATGGCTGGCTGATTGATAACCATTTGCAGTAACCTGGAGAGGTGCAGGCGGGCTTATATACCCTGGGGCTCGCTGCCCTCATTTCCCTGTCTGCAGCTGAAACACCTGAACACGCAGGATCCTCTGCATTCCTCAGCCATGAATAGTTTCCCATAGTTGAAGCTCACACGAGTGCGCATTATACGGCACTGTACCGCATGGGTGATGACGTTTGGTAAGTTAGAGGAATATTAACAACATGGAGCAATTCGACATTTGAACATTACAGTTATTTCTACTTCTCTGTTTCTTGTATCATTATTACAGTTATTAGCAGGTTTCACTTCTCTACTCATTCACCCCTCGTTTCCTGATTGTTGACCAAATGGAATGCAGCCAGCAATAAAGTGTCTGTTTTGTAAAAAACACACACACAATATTTACAACACTGTACATTTCTACAGTTTCCGCGATGCCGTGTTTAAATTCTGTGTTAGATGGAGAAAGGGGGAGGAAATAAAAGGCAAACACGTGGAGGAAGTAAAAGAGAAGGCTGTATCGCTGAGGGCGAATTCAGCAAACGCTGATTTCTCACCTGAATTTTCCGCTAAGGAGGAAAACCCTTTAACGACCAGGAGCAAACCGCCGAACAAGCAGATCTGGATTAAAACCAGCTCCTTTCGCCGTTTCCGCCGCGCTTTCACCTTCTTCTGATTCGGCATCACTTGCTTCGCCCGATTCCGGAGTCGGATACCCGGCAGAGACGTCCCCGCTTCCGCTGCTGCCACATCCATGCGCATCCAAGAAGTACCAAAAAGAAGCGAAAAGGAAAAGAAGAAAACCCAACGACCTCCTTTAATTCCCGGGGAACTGACTTCTCTCCCGGAGACGGGTAAAGAAGTGAGAGAGGAAGCGGGCAGAAAGTTAAGATTGGCACCGCTAATGGGATGCTGAGGAAAAGAAAAAGAAAGGAAAGAAAGAAACGGACCAAAAGGCTTCGAGCTGCTGCTTAGAAAAGCCGGTCTGTCTTCTTATGTCATGTTGGAATGTGGTTTTGGAAGTGGTAATGCTGAGGAAGGCTGCACAGGATCTCCATGGATGCGTCCGTCTGCTGAGAGGAGGAGGAGGAAGAGGAGGGGGGCGCAGTGACGGCACTGACACTCGGTCCAAAATCAGCTTTTATCCTGATTCTGTGAAAAACATACGAAAAATAAAAATTAACCTTTTTTATGAGCACAGGCTCGATATTTGTGAGTAAACTGGAACCTTAACGCATTCTTTTTGTTTCAAATGTGTTCAATATCAAAGATGTCACAGTTACCATGAATTCAGCAGCTGACATCAGGACATCCGGACACGCCCACTATAAAAGTTACGCCCACGAGATAGATGCACATCTGTCCAGGAGCCGACACACACTGCAGGTGTGTATCCTGCAGTCTGAACTAATGATCTAAGTGGAAAACAGGCAGTGGCCACCAAGGCTGCAGGTCCTCTGATGGCCACATGAGGCCGGCTGAAAGTGAGTGGGTCCCCACAGACTCGCGTGTTAATTCTCTAACTTTACCACAGAATTTATCACCTGTTTTAAAGGTGTGGGGTTTTTTTTGTATCTATAGTAACTCTACAGGGATTCATATTTTATACCTCACCCCTGGATACAAGGGTGCTAGCTAACGATGAGCCAAAAGCTACAACACAGCACACATTCAGTTTGGCTCCTCCCCCCTGCAACCCAACTGTCTTCTGATTGACTGCCCCTCATAAAAAGAAGACAGCGCAAAATTGATCCAAATTTCATCCTCTGAGCCACACAGTTTTTAACTTTGGACGTGTTTACCATGTTTACCATGTACAGATACAGTACATACATGTACAGTGTTGTAACAGTGAATATGTGACAGAAACAAGGAAAGGCAAATCCATCTTTTATTAGAAACCTTTATTAAAGTGTGAATAAAAGAGCAACCATGCACTGTATTTGTGTGTTTGTGTCTCCTGATAAGCTGCAGATGTTTGATGGGTTCAGTTGTGTCGTTGACTGCCCTCTCCTGGGATTGTGTTTTAATAAGACCACATTAAACAGCTTATACTCACAGAAAATTGAACAATAATAGTAGTATAGAGTTCTTAAGTTGTAGTTTTCACTTAAACCACTCACTCACACAGAGCCGAACACTTTGACTACGCCTTCAAGGCTTCTGTAAATAATACCGGTATTAATCTTACTTTAAAATATGATGATATTATGGTCAAAACTAAACATCGGCCCCTGTGAACATGGATTTGAAAAGAATAAAAAAAACCCAGTTTGGTTCTCTTCACATATCTGGTCTTTTACTACACATCTATCAGATCCGGGGCAGGTTAGATGTGCTGTATTTTCTTTGGTTATACAACAGTCGTTAGGTCATGTGGATTGATTTCTCCGGTGCTGCTTGTACATGTTGCCTACTTGTTCGCTGCAGATAGTTCTGTGTCCACAGAGATGATACGGACCACCGATTCCAGCATGTCTCTGCCATTTCTGATGGTTTTTTAATGCAGTACTCTTTGAGTGAAGCTGAATTTCGGGATAATGGATAATACTTGATCCCGGCCAAGTGGGTTGCTTGATTGTGGGGCCTGAGGTTTCATATAAATAGCACTGGAAACTTTCCAGCAAGAATGGAAAAAAGTAGTCAGGGCTCTAGGCAACTGGTTTCATTGTGCCTTATTAACCCTTTAGAGCAAAGAGCCCAGAGTGATCTAAAGGCAACCAGGATACGAGTGACACTTCTACATCGGTTTCTGATGTGTCCTGGAAAACGTTCTTCTAAATCAGTTGGGAATTGTTTACTCTCTCGTGATGATGCCAACATGATTCGAGGACTTTAAGCTGCCATGAAACCGGGCCTGTCTAACCTCCAAAGCTACATCAGACTCTGCACGGAGTTACTAAACAAGCTGAATTCCCCCAACCTCCCAGACGTAAGAAATAACTGTGGGGAAGGAGGGAAGAGGAAGGAGGAGGAGTGGGTGGGTGGGGAGGAGGAGGGGGGCAACAAATTAAATCCAGTTAAATTGTTTTTCCATAGCCAGTAGGCTTGGCAAAGGACTCGCTCACACACACAAGATGTAAGATAAGTTGTAGAAAAGACAAACCAGAAACAGTGCGGCTTCAGATGTAGGAGAATGCCTGGAATTTAACCCAGTTTCCCATGTCCGCCTCACACCGCACCCACTGCCCTGCCCAGCAGCTCAGGACGTCCACATCCACACACGCAAACAGGTGATTCCCCACAGCGAGACATCTGTCCTGCACCAGCCCTCCCCTGGTCAATAACCCACACAGCCTACCTCCTCCTTCCTCTGGCATTGGGATCACAATGCAGCCACTGCAGAGGAAAGCTGCAGTTCTAGCAGTTTGAAACACCAAGGCTAGGTAGCTAGCTAGCAGACATATCTGGGTCATGTCTTCCCTCTCAGATAGCTCCCATATCCAGGATGCAGCAGCTCCTCTTCCTCTCCACCGCAATCTCAAATCAGAAGGAAAGGGATGAGAGGGGTATAGCATGGTTGGCCAGGAATAGCCAACCAAAAAAAGAAGAAAACTAAAGTTGGGACAGTACAGAGGCCAGGTGGTGATGCTGAAAGTAGAAATAAGGCCAAGCATCCCTGCGGTTTGCATTAAAATGAGCAGAATGCAACACACAAACAGAGAGACGCTTCTTTCTTACACCTTTATAAAAATGACAACAAAACGTACATTCAGATCTGTCGAGTGACAGCAGGACAGCGTCACAATGAGAAACATGAATAAATAGCTGATGTCAGAGTTGGTCCGGTCACACTGATAGTGAGGTGCAGCTGGCCCCTCTCCGCAGGTGTAAAGCACAGGTGAATGGGGCAGTCGCAGAAACTCGATCCTGGTCTTACAATCGACTGCAGCACCCTTTCTAGAGTCATTCCCACTGAGTGGGTCAATAAATTGAGGAACACACTGAGACACAGGTCACATTTTAGCATTTAAAGTCCAACTGAAATCACATCTCCGTCTGCTGTAGTCTAGTCAAAGTGATTTTAAAGTGTAAAGCTATTCTTATTTCTGTTAATGAAGAGACAATAATGATTTGGGGCATCAAATCCACTCTGGCAGCCTCTGAGTTAGTTGGTTACCATTCATGTTTCAGTGAAAGCTGAGTCAGTGCAAGCAGATAATGTTAACAAATGTGCGCCGCTAAATGAGTACATGATACACAGCCATCTTTATGCTACGTCACTAAGTTGCTAGCAGACAGTAGTTAGCCAAGACTCGGCTGGTTAGCCAAACTAATGTTGTTAGCAATGCGCTTTTACCCAGTGGATGTTTGTTAGCTAACTTAGCAAGTCGGCGTGCAGCATCGTGCTTACATGTAGCTGGAGATTTAATGCAGGCTGTTGTTTGAAGCTTTTGTGGGGTGTTGCTGCAGACTGCTGTCTACTTATTAGTGACGTAGCTTCTGATTCCAGAAAGTGAAGACCATGCAAAAGGCCAGCAGGGGGCGACTCAACTAGCTGCTAAAAAAGCAGTCCATTTGTACAGAAATCAGTGTGGGAAAAATTTATCAGTGATCTCAAATTTAAAAAAAAGAAAGAAGGAAAAGTAAATACTGGTGATGTGTTTATGTGCTCCGCTGATATTTTTCGGTCTTCTTTACTAAAACATGATGATCATTTTACAAATTTACAGCCAGAATTAGGAGAAAGCAGGATCCAGGTGCACATTTAGTTTCAAATTAAGAAGGTAAGGCCAAAAAGACTGAGCTTGAGGACTTCACTAACCAATGACTGACTTTACAGAAGTTTCATCTCAAGTCTTTGCATATGAAACGTAAACTTGTCCAGCTACAAACAACAGGGCCATTTCTTTTACAGAGCAGACGGTGGTAGCAACTTCAGTTTGACCTTAAACAAAATCTGCTACTCAAAAAGGTAAAATAACCTCTTAGACCTCAAAAATTTGACAAGTGTCACAATATATAACAAGCTTGGTACATTCTCACTACCATGATGTTCCTGCAGTATAAACTCGGAGCTGAGCTGTGCTTCAGGGTCAGAGTCATGTCTCTAAACAGAGACTAAGTCAGAACAGACAGAGAGAAAGCAAAAGACAAAGAGACAGATGGCGGCAGAAACATGAAACGATGGAAAGAAAGGGAGCGAAGGGAAAAGGAAAGCCGAGCACATAAAGCTACTGGGCTGCACGGTTTTATGATGTTGCCATCACCCACGCCTCCCCTCCCCTCGCAAATCTAAGAAAACTGTGCAGTGTCATGTGGCCAGACATCATCTTTGCTACATGTAGCCCGTCCTATCAGAGTGTGGAGGAGAGAGGCCAAGGGGACGATGTCTGAAACAGGCTGAACGAATCCTGCTGATTTCCAAACAGGAAGGACAGTCCAGGATCAGGTGAAAGAGTCGCTGAGGTTTAAGGCCTTCCTGAGGAAACTGGGCTCACCGTCATGTCCCCAGTACGACATCTGCAAGACACGAAACAGCAGTAGTTTAAACTCTTTTTCTTCATACTCTCTCAGTCATTACACAGTCATTCACATCATTACAGAAGATCAACCAAATGTGGAAAAATCTTCCCATGTGACCCCCACAGGATGAGCTGATCTTTGTTGCATAGCAACTTTAGCAAATGTAATTAAGCCCTGTGAAATTAGACCCTGAAACCATCAACATTATCAGGGTTACAGCACCTTTATGTTTATAGGAGTCAAAATGTAGCGCTTTGGAATTTTCTTAAGCCTTTTTGAGTCCTCAAAGCATATTTATTGGGCAGAAAATATCCATGTGAAAGTTCAGGATGAAAAACACATTTAAGCTCTGTTAAGAACTACAATGAAATCAATTTCACCCCCCGGTTCAGCTTCATATTTATCTCTCTCGCTCATGTCTGAGGTAGGCTTGGTTAGCATTCGGGAATCAAACCCACAACTCCCGTTCCAAAGGTGTGCAAGTCTTACTACCACGCTATCCAGCTGCCTTCTCAGACAGGGCATACATGGAACGCCATAACCAAGTGGCTGGTATAGCATACAGAAACATCTGTGCTGAGTATAACCTGGAAGTCCTAAGGTCAAAATGGGAGATGCTGCCTAGGGTGGTGGAGAATGACCGAGCTAAGATCCTGTGGGACTTCCAGATACAGACGGACAAAATGGTGGTGGCTAACCAACCGGACATAGTGGTGGTAGACAAACAGAAGAAGACGGCCGTAGTGATCGATGTAGCGGTTCCCAATGACAGCAACATCAGAAAGAAGGAGCATGAGAAGCTGGAGAAGTACCAAGGGCTCAGAGAAGAGATGGAGAAGATGCGGAGGGTGAAGGTAACGGTGCTCCCAGTGGTAATCGGACCACTCGGTGCAGTGACTCCCAAGCTAGGCGAGTGGCTCCAGCAGATCCCGGGAACAACATCAGAGATCTCTGTCCAGAAGAGCGCAGTCCTGGGAGCAGCTAAGATACTGCGCAGGACCCTCAAGCTCCCAGGCCTCTGGTAGAGGACCCGAGCTTGGAGGATAGAAGCTCGCAG